TCGATATAGATAAGTATAGTTGCAGCACTGGGGAGAATGATGGATGGACTATTGTAAGTGGTAGTAGGTCGTTCGTGAAGACTGACATTCGTTAAGGGCTCGTTGGATTTTCATATTTTCCACAGCATTGCAGTTCGCACATGGTCACAGAAGGACGAGGAAGAGAATTTGTGTTTACATGGTAGTTCGTATTGGGCGGAATCACTCGTACTGAGTGATCCGAGATCACTTGTTTGGATCAACATGGATCACTCATCTGCAGTGCAGTGCTGTATTGCAGGCACCCCAGTGGTGCCCATGCGAGATGCCGTGACTTTCATACACGCATCCTGATCCCTACGTGCCCTATTGCATGCGAACCAATATGCTCTTCGGTAGTCTGAGCAAATACTGGTCATTGCAGAAAGATGCCCCTCGCGAACGAGACTATCGAGGAAAGAGGCAGGCTGGCTTAGCAGTGCTAAGCTAGCACTCCGCATCTAACCGGCGCTGAACAAGTTCTCCCGAGGTATCAGATGTGAGGAGATAGTGCGAAAGAACTCGCCTAACAACAATGCTATTTTATTGGTGGAGGAGTATGAGAGCCACGCGGCAAAAGAATTGCAGCACAAGCGGTCGAAAGAGGACGAGCGTCAGGGATCGAAGTAGTTTCTCCCATCACTGGAGACTAGCGACCATGTACGCACTCGCAGTAAGGTAGGCACCTCAGTGGTGCTCAGCTGTTGTAGTTGCTACAAGTAGCTGTCTCGGTGATTGGTAGAGAAAAATTTGGACGTTTCTCAATATGCTTCGCTTGTAACCCTTAATAGTATCTCTATGAAGGCCCTCTAGTGGTGCCCGGGAGTGAATATTGTGTGCGGGGGGCTGTAGGGTTCATAATCAGTAATCTAGTCCGTGTTGCGTTTGCCCTGTACAATCCTTCGACACCTCTGCAAAGTCCATAACAATAGCTCCACGAAGACGCTCCGATGAGTGCCACTGCCCATGAGCGAATGTTTCTCGTGCAGAATGTCAAAGTTGCCCGTAATACTTACGTAATGCCTACTTGAGGGTTTAACTTGTGGGTATTGTTGAGTCGTCAATACGTACAATCGTACCAAACCTTGAGACACAACTGTTACGATGCAAAAAGAGAGAGGATACTCGAAGATGGGACTCAATTTAACTGTTATCTCATCTGATTCAATCGCGACGTGCAAGAGCAATCATGTGTTTGGTATTCAGCATTGATCATAACTCGCGCTGTCTTCGGAGTGAATGATATATCTCACTAGAGTGCTATCACGCTTTGACCCGATACTAAGTGACTCACTTGAAGTGAGACACGAGGTGTGACACCTCTGATAGATACTTAGTAAGTGCACAGGGCATGAACATGCACCAAAATGGATATAAGACGCAATACCGTAATAGAACGAGAAATGCTATCCCATAACTATGTTTGCTCGATTGTATATTACTTGTACGAATAATGCAAAAGGGCAAGTTTGCTAATAACGCTAACAGAGACGGAGTTTGAGCGAATGAGCAAAACGCTAGTATATATTCTCGCAGGGCGTAAGTTACAAGAGAGCAAATAGCCGAAACATAAAAGTAGCGCAGCGTTGTCACATACCGGCAACTGCCAATTTGTATATTTCATGCAGGAACATCACACAATAGCAAACCTTAAAAGGTGCCAGACTACATAATTACAACGCGAAACATATTAAACAGCAAATGAGCACAACTTGGCAGAATAACGAAAACGTGCGGGCGAAGCACACTTGGGCAAAAGTGCCAGCGTGTAAAACATTCCGGGGAAATATACAATGCAGCAAAAAAAGAGCAAAAAAGAGCGACTTGCTAGAAAACACTTTTGGATTTGCTACTTTCAACATTTGGTTGCTAAAACCTATACCAGAAATTGCTAGGTTGTAAATGTGGTTGCTATTTTGTAACTGAGAAAGCAGCACATACAAAAGAGCAAAAAAGTGAGACTGTCAGAAATTATAGCATTTGGCAAATCCGCAATATTAGCAAAAAGTTGCGATTGCCGGATTGTATTACACCGCGGACAGGCAACTACTACAAGTAGCTTCCAGTGGCACTTGAGAATCGGTCAAAGCGGTCGACAACTATCTGTAACTCGATAACACGACAACATCGCGAAGAACATCGGGTAAAAGAATTACCACAATTAAACGAAGGATAGCTGTGAAGAAAAATGCAGACGGTTATTCGAGGGAAGTACATCCCTCAATAAGTTAGCTGTAGGAGATTAACTTACTCCTGCTTGTTGGCAAAGTCAATACCCCTCTGAACATCAACCTTCAGCTTAGTGATGACTTCCTGGAGCCTGCCGGCCTCGTGTTCGCTCAAGCCCTCAATGGGATGAATCTTGGAGACGCCTTCAGGTCCGAAGTCGCACAAGTAAGAGAAGTATTGAACATCACCGTAAGGCTCGTTGAAGAAAGTGGAAGCGCTAGCTTGTTCACCGTGCATGCCACGAATGACAACCTCGACGAACTCAGCGGCTGCATAGGCCATGGCAAGAGTGGCAGATCCAGCACCAGCCTTAGCGTTAACAACATCAGTACCGGCACCCTGAACATGGTTATCCAAAGCGGTAAGGGTGGCCTCGTCGAAGTCAACCTTGGGAGTAGCATGAGAGAACCAAGGCATGATAGTCACACCAGCATGACCGCCAATGACGGGGATAGTCACCTTGTTCACATCAGTCTTCAACTCCTTGGCGACGAAGGTCTCAGCCCTGATAGTATCCAAAAGAGAAACACCGAGGAGCTTCTTAGGGTTGAACACACCGGCTTGCTTGTAGACCTCAGCACAGGCGGGAACGATGGAATTCACGGGGTTGGTGACGATACACAGAGTAGCATCAGGAGCATACTTGGCGCAGTTCTTGGCAAGACCAGCTGCGATACCAGCATTGACTGAGAAGAGATCATCTCTGGTCATGCCAGGCTTACGAGGAACACCGGCAGTGATGACGATGAGCTTGCTTCCAGTGAGGCAACCCTCGAGTTCCTCCTCACCGGCGTAACCCTTAACCTCAGCGGGGGTGTTGATGTGACTCAAATCCTCAGCAACACCGGCGCAAGGAGTACGAGCCTGCTTGATATCGTAAAGAGCCAACTCAGAGATCTTCTGGTTGAGCTTCAAGAGAAGAGCGAGAGGCTGTCCGATACCACCGCAAGCACCGAGAAGAGCGACCTTGAATGATGACATAACTATGAAAGGAACAAAAAACTGTTGATTAGGTAATTGAAATGGAACTGGCATAATACGAACTAGCTTCGAGCTTAGCTTCATGATCTTTCGATGGCTAAGATATGTCTAGGGGACAGCAGCATTGCACTATCCGATACTTGAAGTCGGTTATGCGTGAGCATTAAGGCTGGGATGGAAGACAGTAGAGTATAATACTGAGTGTTACTAGGAATATCTACTAGTGTAGGACAGCAGTTGATGAAGGTATAGTACACTCTTCTCCGACCGTCGTAGCCCGACGAACCAAATGCTCGCTATAATGCACAGAAATCAGACGAACAGACGAATCGTCTAAGACGACAGGAGTACAGTAGCAAGATATTCTCGCGATGTAGATACCTATTCGAACAGACGATACTACGAAGTCTCACAGGCTTGCCAGAGTTCAGAAGGTCTAAGTGAGACGTGTGATGAAACTGACCACACTGAGAGAACTGCAGATCCCAACAGGGCTCAGTGATTGAAGCTAATCTATGAATCACGTATGTCTAATGGCAGCGAAGCGAATGACACACAGCAAGTATTGTCATGTAACATCGGAGACTTTAGCTTGAGGGCGACGATATCGTTATTGTGGCGCAATAAAATCACGAGTCCCATTCCATTCTCGGTTTTAGTGGCCCATTTAGTGTGGTGAGACTATCTATTCAGACAGGCAACTACTACAAGTAGCTTCCAGTGGTACTTAAGATTCGGTCAAAGCGGTCGTCAACTATCTGTAACTCGATAACACGACAACATCGCGACGAGCATCGGGTAAAAGAATTACCACAATTAAACGAAGGATAGCTGTAGAGAAAAATTCAGACGGTTATTCGAGGGAAGTACATCCCTCAATAAGTTAGCTATAGAAGATTAACTTACTCCTGCTTGTTGGCAAAGTCAATACCCCTCTGAACATCAACCTTCAGCTTAGTGATGACCTCCTGGAGCCTGCCGGCCTCGTGTTCGCTCAAGCCCTCAATAGGATGAGTCTTGGAGACGCCTTCAGGTCCGAAGTCGCACAAGTAAGAGAAGTATTGAACATCACCGTAAGGCTCGTTGAAGAAAGTGGAAGCGCTAGCTTGTTCACCGTGCATGCCACGAATGACAACCTCGACGAACTCAGCGGCTGCATAGGCCATGGCAAGAGTGGCAGATCCAGCACCAGCCTTAGCGTTAACAACATCAGTACCGGCACCCTGAACATGGTTATCCAAAGCAGTGAGAGTGGCCTCGTCGAAGTCAACCTTGGGAGTAGCATGAGAGAACCAAGGCATGATAGTCACACCAGCATGACCGCCAATAACGGGGATAGTCACCTTGTTCACATCAGTCTTCAACTCCTTGGCGACGAAGGTCTCAGCCCTGATTGTATCCAAAAGAGAAACACCGAGAAGCTTCTTAGGGTTGAACACACCGGCTTGCTTATAGACCTCAGCGCAGGCAGGGACGATGGAATTCACGGGGTTGGTGACGATACACAGAGTAGCATCAGGAGCATACTTGGCGCAGTTCTTAGCAAGACCAGCTGCGATACCAGCATTGACTGAGAAGAGATCATCTCTGGTCATGCCGGGCTTACGAGGAACACCGGCAGTGATGACGATGAGCTTGCTTCCAGTGAGGCAAGCCTCGAGTTCCTCCTCACCGGCGTAACCCTTAACCTCAGCGGGGGTGTTGATGTGACTCAAATCCTCAGCAACACCGGCGCAAGGAGTACGAGCCTGCTTGATATCGTAAAGAGCCAACTCAGAGATCTTCTGGTTGAGCTTCAAGAGAAGAGCGAGAGGCTGTCCGATACCACCGCAAGCACCGAGAAGAGCGACCTTGAATGATGACATAACTATGAAAGGAACAAAAAACTGTTGATTAGGTAATTGAAATGGAACTGGCATAATACGAACTAGCTTCGAGCTTAGCTTCATGATCTTTCGATGGCTAAGATATGTCTAAGCGACAGCAGCGTTGCACTATGATAGTGCCACTATCTGATACTTGAAGTCGGTTATTCGTGAGCAGTGAGAGGTTAACCGAGGATCATAGCACCAGTCTCGGCGATAACAATGTCCGTGACCAGCAATCGCGTGCAACATCAGTTGGACATGATTCGAAGTAAGACTCAGAAAGATTTGGTAGTAATTCAACACAAAAGAATAACCAAACAAAGCGAGGTCCATCCTCAGCGAGTATGTGAGCCGCTTAGTGCGGGGTCAGAGAGTGAACTTTCCACCATTCTGTTACGGTTGTAAATCCCCCAACTAGCAGGAACCAAACGCTTCTATCACAAGCTTGAGCAAAAATATAACAGGGCAGATCTTACTGTGGTGAGGGGGGTACATTAGAATTATCCACTGATCGAGATGCATCATTATTCTCATACTCATCAGTGGCGCACTCAAAGTGAGAGACATCGAGTTTCACAACCGTGTCAGTACGGCTCGGAACCACGGCCTCCTCGTGGTGGTCAGACGTAGGAGGAACTATGCCTGCGATGTAGCTCGGTGGTTCACTCCCAGCAGTCAGTGCTGCCAGGTCCGGCAACGGAACATGTGCAAGTCTCGTGACAGATCCACGAGGCCGACCGGGTCCTCGTAGAAGTAGCCCCGTTGGTGGGGTACTGGTCAAACGCCGAAGTTGCTGTATTTGAGCATACTCCTCTTTCATTCGAGTCCATACCTAAAACACGAGACATCGCTATCCAGTAAGCAACAAGGCAACACACCTCCTCGACTCGTCCTTCCTCTTTTGCCCGACTTAAACGCTGTCGATCAGCTACGGCTTCTTCCAGCGTCGACCGCGGGGGGCCTCGGTAATTTTTTCGATGCAGCGAAATTTGAGCCATGTATAGCCTAAAAACCGTGCACCGTTCAGAACTGCAGCTTTTCCACGACAGTCTCACCCGTCCTTCCTAAAATGAACGCCGGTTGGTATTCGTTCCGTGTCCGGAGCACGACGCTTCTCCTGCTTTGGTCGCCTCAATCTCGACAGTAACTACAGCCAGCCGAAGTAAAGTCGATCGCTGTTGAAGTGAGTCACCAGTTGGAGATCTTCAGGTGTCTGGGCAGCCTCCAGTAGTACACGGTCCTGCATTGCCTCCTCCACAGTATGCCTCGACGGACCTTCGTACTGAACAACACATGGGCATCTCATCAAGGAACAATAAGTCCTATGCTACTTTCACTGTCGTCGACCTCGCCAACGGTGGACTATTGAGATTTTCTGCTTCCGCAAAACTGACTTGCTGATGAATAGTCGCTATCTGACGGGCTGTGATACTCCATGACAAGCGAGCATCCACGACCTACGAATGCCTTCTTGGATTTGTTGTAATACACCCCCTTAGGCAACAACTGTGAAGTCATGTCCCACTCCTGCAGTAACTACATAGGGTAGACATCCCACCTCTACTGATGAACGGATGCTTACGTCCTGCAATGTGTTCGTTCCCCGAGCCTGGTCCATCCTGATACGGTCATTGTCGGCCTCTTCTGATCAACCACAACGAGCACAATAGCACCCCAGCCAGCCGCAGTGATAGACCTTACCCACAGCTTCCCTCGAGGGGCCTCGGTATTTCTTCCCATCCAGTATTATCTGCACCATACACTGTGGTCGAACTAGTCCAAGAGTGTAACTACCTCAGCCCGCCATAGACCGCTCTTGAGCTGAATAACCATTGTGATCTGCTCGCCCTCGCTAGCAGAGTTGGTCCCTTCCTGCGTCGGGACAACTGGTCCCAGTCGAGCCCTCTTCGCAGGAGCAGTCAATGCCTAGAATGCATCTCGGATGACCGCATAACGGCGACAATGAGGCTCACCGTCGCCTCCGATCCTCCAATACTCATTGGAGTCATCGACACTCCTGAGCTAGACGGTGGTACTGCCAATGCCGTTTCCGAACTGGTACGTACTCGAGCCGGCCGCGGGGTGTATGGACCAGCAGCGACCTAAGAGGAGTGACAGCCCTTATACAGTTTGTTATGTACTACAGCATCCGCCGGCGGGGTCGGTTGATGGCTTGGGGAGGCCGGCTCGTTGGGGATCTCGGGAGCTTGGAGTAGCACATCAACGAAGGCCGCCTGAACGGTGAGTGATGAAGCAATATCACTGTCAGACCGTTTTATGAAGCTCTCAATCGACGAACCCTCGGAACCCTTACATTCTCTTTCAGCTCGGTCTCATCAACGGAAATGGCTGTATCCATATTCCTCCATAGTAATGCACAACTGACATATTCCCAATTGCCCAAGCAAACGCATTGATATCAACGCAACATTAGGTCCTCGTATAGGGCAAACCACATGAGGAAAAGCTGTATAAAGTGAAGAAAGCTTTTGGTAGCAACCCTACTAAGCGAACGTTACCGGGAAGATTCAAGTGCATGGAGTCGACGACTCCGAATCGTACCGTCCAAACCGGTGGTCATAATATACATGTGTGTTAGGATGAGTTAATTGCTCGATAGCTCAAGGAGTAAAGGGGGATACACTAATTTGGTGCGGAAAATGAAGTCCTATGGGACTTCGCGGGACCGCATTTCAGGTACCCGTGTCGAGAGATACTTCCTGGGGAGGACCATTCATGCCTCATCAACAGGATCGCAGCATGCTCCATGGATACGCTGATTCACCCTCTACTACCCACAGGCATTCCATGATCGTTATTGCGATCAACATTATGCTCAAGCCACTCCAAGCCGCCATCTTCCTCCTGCTAGGTCAATACAGCTTATCACAGCCAACACAGAGAAACTGCCACAACTATCGGTGATGGAAATTCCAGATGAACTACTAGATTGGCTACTAATCTTACGAAAGCCACTCAGAAACCATCACTATAAAAGCTCTACTACAGGACCGGACTCGGAATATCTTAGAACCTCGATTGGAAACTCCCCGTACCTCCACCATTAGCCGTCCACATCCCTAGTCGAACCCAGCGAAAACAAATCAGTCTTTTCCCCAAAAAAGGAGCCGTTGAAAATTTATCACGACTGAGCTGTATGAAATGACCCCGCTCGGCGCGCCTGTTATTACTCTGGAAAAGACCAGTGTACACCGTTAATGCGGTGCGCTGCAACCCACTGTCAGCACTAGTGTGTGGTAAGCTCAAGAAGGCAGGCCCATTCGAACGAGACCACACTTTGCGAGCTAACGAGGCTTCATAGGGATGATGGAGGGAAGTTGCAAGCAAGAGGTGTCTGTTAAAATTGGAGCATGACTATAGCACTTATCATCAG